CAAAACCTCATTTATACAAAGAATAACAATAATAGAAAATAAACAATATCAATGAAATCTTATTACTAACAAAGACAATAAATTTTTGTGAGAAGACTCCAATTATTAGACCAAATAGCTTCTTAGAATGTGTGATTATTAAAATATTTTTTTTTCTCAAGTGATCGAAAGATGGTACACGTCCGAGTTGACAGACATGTGCATTGTGCACACTTCGTCCGTTGGACGTTAGGTCCTGGCTAATTAAGCCAGCCTTCCAGAAGTACAGAAGCTCCTGGGCACTTCGCAGGCTTCGAAGAGCGGCCTCACAGCTCCGAGGCTTTCTACTCGTTGGGAAGAGACCCATTCCAGGACTACGTGGATGACGAGGCAGATCGGTTTCCTTGCGATTATTTTCTTGACTTCGAACGCACGGTCTGAGTTGTAAATCTAAGAATCTACTAGGTTAAGTGTATCCTGTACACATGATGTAACTGGAGTTCCTTGGTTCAATTTCTGGCATAACAACAATTATTTTTGCTTGATAAAAATAATTGTAACAAAATTATCAATAACAGAGATACAGAATTGTCTAATCCCAGTTGGGGAAATAAGGGCATATTTTAATTCCGAAATAAAAAACATGAATAGATGAACAATTAGTTTATTAGTATATTTAAACTTATAAATACTATATACAGTTATAAACAATTTTATACTATCACATTTCATTCTAAATTATCGTCGGCTCTGATTGTTCCACTGCTGCCATGCCGTTCATAACTTACGCGGCTGATGAAAACAATTAATTATATATTAAGACATAAGCCGCAAAGTATACTAATAACATTAAGTATTTACATTAATAAATGTCCGTGATATATAAATCGATTATTAAACCCCTTATGACCTATAAACTTAAGTGCCGCACTCTGTAGCTTTATCTACAGATAGCATTACCGATCTCAACATTTTTGTATGCAATTTCTTTTCTCAATATCTGATGTCGCAAATTTAGGATCTCGCGATCTCTTTACATAGGAGGATAATCCCTCGCAAAGGGCACACATGACACAATGTGTGGAAATAATTAATGAACTACAAAGATAAACAGACGTTTTGAATTGTCCGTTGAGTTAACTGACAAAAGGTCTGATTCATGTCAGTTCCTTTTTGAAAATTTTTTAATCTTTTATCTGTTTAAGGCTGTGTGGATATTTTCTGTGTATGTTTTGAATAAGATGTACCAGTGCTGATCATGAATGTTTTAATAAATTAACAAACTTTGTTTTTAAGCTTAAAAACTTAATGTAATAAAAAACGCGATACAATAACAATTAGTTATTTAAATATTTATTTATTTATTTATAACGAGAAACTGCTGACATATCGCGATGATGATGATCATCTTACGTCGTTCATTACATGTTCGAAGGATCAAGTTGTCGCTGAACAAATAATAAATTTAAAAATACAGCAAAAGCTAAAATTAGCAGAGAATGTGTATAAAAAGCCTTACTTTTGTGAAATTTTTAGACAGCATATTCTACAGTGACATATTTTAAATAACCATTTAATACTTAACATAATAATCATTTCATTTTTTATGGAATTAATAGTAGATCCGCTGATAACTTCTAATATTTCAAAATATCGAAATCAATCCAATTAGACTACATTTACAATATCGAAACCAAATTAAATTGAATAATTAACATATTAATAACAAGTGAATATCAAATTGCATAACACACCAAATATATGTACATTTTTATACAATACTCATTAATAATATGAATTCTAAATTATTTTTAAAAGGTTTAAATTCATACCTTTATATTAGCGATTTTTCAATCATTAGAATGAAAATGCTAATATGATTTCTAATAATTGGAAAATCTAGGCTTATTTTAATTAATAAAATGGGCTAAATTAATGCTTACATTAAAACGTATATTATTCACACTGATCCATTTAAATTCTAACGACCTTACGCAGACGACAATCTTTTTACATAAATCATTAATATAGTTATATATTTTGGTTTCCAGTATGTGATGGTACAGCCTCTTCCGATTCCTATTGACCAATCCAGAACAAACACAACACGAACCCTGTTCTATGTCTATCTTCTGTCGCCTTATTAAACCCTTTATTCCTTGGACTCGTTGATGTAATTTAAAAGAAAATTCTATAATATTTGGAGGCAAATATGCGAAAGGTCTCTCGAATATAGATTTTGTACGTACTGAAGAATTTAATTTATTATAAATGACATATTCGCCTGAATATTGCCATTGTTTAATATTCTTCATCCTTTATAGACGTCTTAATTAATATGTAGAAATATTGTTTCTAAAAATAAAAAGCTTTGAAGTTTACTTTACTGCGGCGTGGCACAAAGATAACTTTTGTATGTTGTAAAATTTACTCACATTGCGTTGAGTTCACAATTTATATTTCGTCTGCGCAAGGTCTCCCTAAGTATAAAAGGGATTGGAATAGTAAACTTATATTATCTAATACATTATATGAAAAATGTTCCATAGACAAACTTTGGATATATTGAATAAAGTAGAAACAAAAAGTGGTGTTGTAAATTCTCCAGTCATTTTATTTAGAGTTATTTTTACAGAGCTTATTTAGAATTACTAAAAGTTCAAGTCCTGGTTGGAACGATTCTAATTAAATTTGTATTTTTTGGTCAGTTTCAATTCTCAAATAATATGTGACGTAAAATTTTACAGTCTAATACATATGTTAGAGACCCAAAATGTTATTTGCGCCTGAGCAGTTTCATTGTCGAAAAGACTTCATTGGGTTTAAACAATTGTTTAGTTCCATAAAGTTCAATTTTCAAAATTACCTAAAAGCTGATTAGTGTAATATTTCAAATAGAACTTTAAGTTCTAGCAAGAGCTTAATGTGGTAATATGTTCTTGTAACTCGATAGTTGTGGCTTTGAACGAATGAATGAACGATAATAGGATTGTTTTAGTGATTGGCAGAGCGTACAAATAAGAGGTAGGCTAAGGTGTTTCTGATTGAGAGTGAGTGAATTGTGGGAACAAAGCAATAACTGGCATTACTTACTTACCCAGAAATAAGACTACTATGTTTTTTTAGAGATACTACGTATAGACTTCCTTACCCAAGTTCAATATACGTGAGACCATTCGCAATTGCTATGAGGTTTTCTAGCACGTATGATATTTTTGTAATTTGTAAATGCAAGTCACTTGGAGGGGATGAATCTATTTATGCCAAAGCCAGCCATAATTAAACTTACTCTTTGTAAGACGCAGCGTATAAAAAAAACAAATGTGCTGTCACTCAACCATTTTATTTTCTCTGTCAGTTATAAATTCTTTTGTAGTAATTGAAATGAAAAGAAATGCCGGACCGAGAATATTTTCTGCTAGTTTGTATTATAGTCTGCATACCTGATATTCCTGTGCCATATGGAAAATAACGATTGCTCAACTTGATTCTAATTAATATTTTGAACTGAGCATAATCCGAATTTCGATATTTGAAACTAATTGGGACAGATTATAATTCCTTTTAATTGCTCGTTCATTAGAATGACATTTAGTTTATTAATAGTCTGAAATAGACATAATTTTAATGGTTAATTAGATTTCAAAAGCTTATAAATTTTAGTTAGGCATATGCTAAGTAGTTTAAAGTTTGACCTTCGTTTTAGAAAACAAATTATTTCTTTAATAGAATTAAAAATATTCTTAACACGATAATGTTAGCACAGAAGTTTTTAATGCAAATAATATGTTTTTAAGTATACCAAAGAGTACCACTATGGTAACATATATTAAATACATTCTAATTTAGGCATTTAAAAGATAACAGTGCTTCTTCGTGCGTTCGAATCACGGCTGTGCTGTGCATTTTCTGTCTATGTTCGCAGTCAACACTCGTTCGTGTACGAAAAAAATACAGAAATTTTAGATCTTACTAGGGTTTTATAAGGGACAAAATAAAACTGTATCACACTACTACTAAATATTTGTTTGTGTAATATTATAAAATATTCCTTGACATACATCAAAATATCCCTTAGCTAAATAAGATCGGAAAGGTTAGAGAACTTCTGCGTATAAATTATGATTATAATAAAATCACATTGTTTATAACAAGGGTCGTATATTTATGGGTTTGTCATTCCATGAATAGGGTATTAGCTTTTATATTCACACTGAAGATTCTCGTATGAATAATCTAGTGAAGCGTCTAGCTTCGCATTTTAAAAATAACTAGGAAGAGCCCTCAAATGTTTATAACACGTGTTGAACATAACGAAGGTATAATATAAGCTGTCAAATTTGACACTTAGCGCTTAGTGTGTGCTTCCATATGTCAAAAACGTGTTTAGTTTGACACACGGACGTGAAGACGATCTTAAGTTTCATTAAGAGTCATTTTCAAGAAAACCAACAAAAAACGGCGAAGTTATTAAGTTAATTTTCTTAATGAATTAATTAATTTCTTGAATTCGATTAGAAGTGCTAAATCTGAAATTCAACTAAAGATATAAACTTACGTTACTTAGCCTTGTGTTACTACGTAAATAGGTAGCATATGTATAAGTTTAAAAAGAAACTAAGTAACCAGAATTAATCCTATGCATGCGCCACCTATTTAGAAACGTGTACCTAATTAGTATGTAATGCACGAGTAAAAATAAATGCAAGCTTTAATATAAATCTCGTATGTTCCTTACAAATAAAATGTATGTCTCATGTGTAGTTACTCTACTTTAATTTATAATACAGCGTCTTTTCATTACATCTTTAAATTAACACTATTCTGTGAAAACTGAGCAAAGAATTTTATTTCAAACGACTCTTTAAAATCCTCATTTTAGCTGTTCCACTTTTCAAATTAGCATCGCATTCAGAGTTACAAATCACTGGTTACAAAAGGAATACGCCGGTCCAAAGTTTGTCTCGGGAAATGAAGCTTTATGACTAGGTAATATGGTAGGATGTGGCTTAACACAATTGTCACCGGATAGCGTATAGGACTACTGTTGTGTACAAACTGTGCAATATGCTTAGATGGATGTAACTCGGTGAGGACGACTGCATGGCCGCTGGATTTTCGCCTGAAACAATTTTATTTGTTTAAAGCTTTATGAAACTTATGAAGTACAAAAGAACAAATAATATTTGTTTGTATAAGCTCAAACTCAAAATAACTTTATTCATGTAGATAACCAAGTACTATATAACTATAAATACAAAGGTCTGTCAAACACAACAAATAGATAAATGAACGTGGTCTAAAAGAATTTATGGAGTTTAGTATTTCTTCCGTTGACTGAATTTGAAGGCAGGCCTGGACGTCTGTGGGTCTAAGAAAAATGTTAATGCTGGAGCACTGTCATGTTTTGACGAAAGGACTGTAAGAGTATCCGGAGTGGCCAGAACATCATTCGAGAAAAGAAAGGGCCCGCTAGATCTCCGAAATTAAATTTTTGGTCTACTAATTTTGGTAAGCTTTTTGTGGTTGACTGTGCATTAGAAACAATGGGGATGTTAGTAGTTTTCCCCATAAGTCTGTACTGTTTTTTATGCGCACACACACAATTATGAAAGCTCAAAGTCGAAATTGAAAGTGAGGATAGTGATCTGGTGTGAACTTTTTATTTGTTTTCAATGCAAACCCAATTATATTTTATTGGTTTTAAAAATCGTAAATAAATACAACTTTTGATGTTGTCATTTCGACGTCGAAAATTTTTTTTTAAAAGTAGTTGCCTAATCTTAGTTTTGAAGCAAGTAAGTCTTACTTCTTTTGAATATTTAATAAAATAATTAAACCGTGTTAATTCCCATATTTATAACATTTTTAAGGGTTTAAATTCTTTTTACTAATTCTTTAAACTTAGCCTTCATTTTATAACTAAACCGTTAAAAATTCTCTGGACGAACTATTTTATTACTACTGCAATTGTTAGGTGTTCAGTTGAAATAAAATAAAAGTAAGGTCAGCAGCGACAATTTCATTTAGAAGGATGCCGGGATGAACATCGCTCCTCGGATTACGTAACTTTCATATCTCGTTCACCTTGAATGGGAGGGTTAGCAAATAACATATTTTTATAAAGTTTTAAGAACAAAGTGCTAAATGAGAAATTTCATTTTGATATATATACTTATCCATCATAATTAAAATCTGTAATTATATTTGATGATCAATTACACAATACACATGAATGTAGCATATGTTACTCCTATTAAACATATAAACATTGTATATTTATAGCAGTAGTTACTTAATACTTTTTAAATTCCGTAACTCCATTATTATTAGGTTTATGTTAAATTTTTGTTTTAAGGTAAGTCATGATCACCTCGCCTATTAACCCATAGCCATCCAATCGAATAGAGAATAGAACCAGGGTACATGATGCGTAAGGTACTAGAGAGGCTCTACCGCGAAACAGTTAGGTATTTTATACGTAATGTTAATTTCAGAAGATTTACATTGAATAAATAACATATTCTGTTTATTTCTGCCATCAGTACTAGACTACTCCTCGCTTGGAGGTCGCGATTCCTATAATTCCACTCCTTAAGCGGCCCCAACTACAACCTCATCCAATTTTCTGCCTAGAAGAGATTAAATGGCTTATAAAATGTAATGTGAATTACTAGATACCGGAAAATTTATACATAGTAGCAACTTAGCATGTAATAGTTTGGAAAAAAAGGCTTTTTGTAGACTTTTAGTAGTATTTTTAGTCTTTGAAATTAATCACAATCTAGAGTTCAGGACTTTTAATCTACGCTTTCAAAATTTATAGAAAAAATATTTCATGGATCTCGGGGGAACATATTTGTTATGTAAATACATCAAAATATTATTCTGGACTGAACTATCTGGAGTTTAGGACTCTACCTGCTGTTTAAAAGTTATAGATAAAATATTTTATGGCTATTTAGGGAATATATTTGTTATGTAAAAACATCATAATCTTATCTATGTATAAACGTAAAACAAATTAAATTACTTCTCAAGTAAATTAGGACTGGAGATCTTAATTTACGGTTTCAAAATTTGTCTTCTTATAGTGCCATCCTTTCGAAGGTTGGCGATCATCATGGCTTCTTTAATTTTGGATGCCGCGCTTCTGAACAATGTCTTGGTGCTGTGACCAAACCATTGTCTTAGGTTTTTCAACAAAGACGTGCGTCTGCGGCCAGGTCTCCTTCTGCCTTGTATAATTAGTTGAAAGGGCTCGAAAATTTATAGAAAAATTATTAGAGCTTTGTTATTTATACAAAAAGATATTATTGATGTATGACATTAACAAGAAAATACTTTTAATCAACATTTACTAGAACAATAGAATACTCAAAGGATGATAAAATTACCTGAATTACAACAATATTTAACTTGACATTCTCGACTTAATTAAACGTCAATCATTAAAATGTTTACATCAATAAAATAATTGAATCCGAACCCTTTTAAATTGAGTGACCAGTTTATAATTAAATCGATCGTGTAGGTCTAATAGAACGACGAGGAGAGGGTTAAACGACCGCTAGTGCCTTCAGTAATGGACTAGAAAATTGACTTATAAAAGCCTATAGTGAAACCCGTGACGGGCGATAAGTTGTTTCATCTACATCTTTGTTTGGCAGATACATTTGGTAATTTATTGAGTTTGGCTCTGATAGTATATTCGTTTTATTGCGCATATCGTTACTTGATATAAATAGTGTTATTTGAGTGTTAAAATAATGTATAAATTATATGGAAAGGACTAAAGGGAAGAACAAGAACAGGACGTCCTAAAAAAAGGTAGAAAGAAGATATAGGATAGAGATTAGGGACCTTTGAAAAAAGCTGGACGAGGCCCTTGAAGAGCTTTCGATTAATGGTACTGTAGCAAGTTAGGATATTAGGATAACAATAAAAAAATGTATATAATACATCTAAACTGTACATTCGTAAAGATTGGAAATAAAAGGGGTTTACTTTTAGCAAAAAATAATATTGTTATTTATTTTTTAAGCGAAATTTAACAATTAAGAGAAAAACAACTATAACAGACTATTTTGTCTGTATAAGATACGAACATATTTTTTTAAATATGTATTATTATAAATTTAAGCAGCTATAATTATATTGCCCTCATTATTTTCTAGCATGAATCTTCTCAATCAGTAGTTTGAGACAATTCGAAAAGCCTTATGACTTTATGAGAAAAGCATCTAATTACTATGAATCAGTTCTTTCAATAGAATTTCGAGCGCCCAAAGGACCAAGATCGTGGTAATTGCAGTATCAGTTAGGTCATGTGTTGGTGACCTACTTTCCTATGCAGAGCGTTGCGTATGCTATCAATAAGGGTTCTTTATGCGATTCAAAAGGAAAGTACAGAGTAATAGGAAACCTCCGAGACTAATTTCTATGAATTACGGTAATAATTTAAACCGTAGGATTTACGCCTACGAAGACATTGCTGCGGCGTAGCTGCTACGCTACGAAGTGAAGCAAAAGTAAGCGATTGCTACGAGAAACTTAACGATTACGATGTGAGATGTTCAATGCTATACAAACTGCAGTGATATTTTTTACAGTAACTTAAATAAAGGGATTTTGCCGAAAATTAAGCCGGAAATAATTTATTAATATTAATAATCAGGAAATCTAAGGTTATTTGATCTAGTAAAATCGACTAATGATAATGAGCTTTATGCCTACTGTATGAATCCAAACGAAGAGAAGACAAACAAATAATAGTAGTTTTGAATCACATATTTCTTATATGTAAATTAATATTGGTAATGCAGATAAGATCGCTAGAGGTTACTGGCAAAATCTGATCACGTTTTAACAGGTTTTGCGAATCCAACTATACAATCGAATAGCTTGGCCGATTACCCTCTGCACCAAAACCATACATCCAGCCCGTTTCTATTCGCAAAAAAGTCTGTTTAAAATTTAAAATTCTTTATCGCAAATTGTGTACCAAGTATGTTGCCAACTATGTCAGACGAGTCATAATTATTATCTTACCATTAAATATGTGGACATAAATGCTAGCGGGGACCGCGTTATTGGGCACGCAGGTGTAGTTGCCCGCGTGCGACACACTCGCAGCTGGAATGAGAAGATCTGACAGACGCTGCTCTGTATCTGTTGTGACGTTGATGCCCCGTTCTGCGTCGTAGTTTATCATTCTACTGTTGTGGTACCTGCATAGAAATGAATACATATATGAGATTTCTTAGAACTATTTTTGAAGTGAAAATTCTTTATCGGCGTTGGAAAAAAAATTACCGTCACATTTTTCGGTTACGCGTCACATGTTTCGGTTACGCGTCACATTTTTCCGTTACGCGCATTTTTTCTTGTCCATACCACGGTTGATTCGAAGAGATTCGAAGCCATTAATAACAAAAATTTATATTAACGATAACAATGATAGTAATCATTCTATTACAAATAATGAAATTCTGTAATAATCTGAGTAGTAATAAGGTAAAATGAAATAATTGTATGATTTGTATTCATGTCTATGATAATAAAAGCCTCTTGTTAAACTTTTTCTAATTTAACTTTATTTAACCTATTTCTGTAAAGTTGCATATAGTACATAATTTTTCGAAAAATAGGTCATAAAGACGTTTCATTTGTTACGTGTTAAATTTTATTGAAGTGAAATTTATATATTGGAAATTTGTGTACTTTTGTACGCGTAATTTTTCGTTTACGCACCATCTTTTTAAGTCATACTTCTTTACTTGGAATGAAAGTTCTTTATCGACGTATGGGAGAAATTTCGTTAGCAAATCTCCGTTTTTCAATGATGTAATAATTCTATTACAATTAATGAAATTCTATAGCCTAATCTCTTTAAGTAACATGAAATATTTGTATTCATGTCTTTGATAATAAAACCTTTAAACTTTATCTTATTTAACAATTTCTGTAAAGTGCATATAGTAGTTCAGTTTTCCGAAAAAAAGACATAAAGAAGTTTCACTTCTAGGTGTGTCACCTAGTACACGCACTTTTTTTTTTATATAAACAAGGGACAAACGGGCAGGAGGCCCCTCCGGTGGGAAAACCCCCCCCCCCGGACCCCTTTTCATGCCAGAGGCCAGTTCTTCATTGCCAGTATTTAATTTGAAATTAGGTATTAGTTAAATGTATTTAAAAATTTATTGATTTGTTCCTTTTCAAATGGGTGAACCTTTTTCCCATATTTCACCCCCCCCCCCCCTCCTCTTTCCCCCCCCTGCTGATTTTATTACGATTCTTTAGTACATGGATAATTTTGCTATGCTACCCCAGAGACTGTTCGGTTTTCCGGAATAAAAACTTTATAAGTTGTTCTGTGATTTTTTTCTATATAAACCTGAGGCCAAGTCATAATTAAGAAATTAAAAATAATGGTAAATAATGGTGAAAAATATGTATTTTTTTTATATTCTGTATCATTAAAAAACAAAAAAATTGTCTAAAAAATAAACATTCAGGGGTGGACCACCCTTAACATTTAAGGGTTTGAAAGATATATAGTAGCCGATGAAAAATTCGTACTACATCACTTAGCCAAAGTTATTGCACATATAATTTAATAAAATGGCTTCCTTTTGTAAGCTTTATAGATACGAATAATAACAACAATTATTCATTATTGCAATTTTAATCAAACATTTTAATCTACAATACTTCACGTCTTTTTTCATTCACTCACTGACTCACTCACTCACTTACACATTTGCACCCACTCACTCACTCAAGCACTCAGGCGTGTTGATAACGGTTGAAAAGTAAATAAAATAAAAGATGTAATTAAATATAAATATATTTTGAAGGAATTTATACTTAAGTTTGTTATGGAAGAGCTGGGAATACACAGGTATTTCTTACTTAAAAGAGTTCCCAAATCTTACAGATTGTAATGCATATGTACTTAAAATGAATAAACAGATTTTTATTATATTTTTTATATGTTTATTAATTATATTACATTCATCACTATATAAACTTATTGAAAAGAGTTTATTGTGACTACCAAATAAATATAATTGATAGTAAATGTGACTAAAACGGTTAACCCTCCGACTAAATAAATATTAGGAATGACAGGGGCAAACTAAATCTAATTTAATCCCAGCTTAGGAATGACAATAACTTTTAACCTTTCAAAGGACAGTTTATCCATTTGTCTCAATGAAAAGTTTCACATAGCAACAAATCTTGTTTTTGTGATTCAGCTTAAATAGATTGTGTATTAAGTTTACTTTTATTATCAAAACAATTTGTTAGTTTGTTGCGTTTAGATTTATTAGACACAAACCAAAAAACTACAAGGTTTTTAAAAACTTCTTTAATATATTTACATATTTAAATATAGCACTGACAAAGTGGATCAAACTAAAATATTGTATTTAAATTATAAAACTTACACAAAAAACAGGTTTAAAAAATTTTTTTTTTGGAAAGCCAAAAGGGGGGTTTTTTGGGGGCCCCCCCCAAAAAAAATGGGGGCAAAAAAAACCCTCCCTTTTTTTTTCCCGGGGGGGCCCTAAAAAACAGGTTTGTAAAAATTTATTAAACTGGCTGACTAATGCTTAGGCCATTTAGATTATTTGGCAGAAATAAAAAAATAAAATATGAATAAAAATATTTATTTTAAAATAAAATTGCTTAAGTCAAATTCACATTATATTTGTCACTACACTCTTCATTTGTACTTGTTGTTTTTAATGAAAATTTGGAAAACACCATCAAAGTTGTGGTTTGCCGACGCCATTGACAGTTTGAAGAGTTTCGTTTCGAGTTTGAGAGCGGCAAAGTGGAATTAAATCTAAATTCACAGTCAATAGGCTAGGCAAGTAATGAAAAGTCATCGATACAAGTCCTAGCTAGCTGTTTAGCTGTTTAATCACCTGGCTGAACTTCTTTCAGGCCGCTAGTTAAACGGCTAGGCTGTTAAGTGAACGGCTAATTAACTTAGTTGGCTGCGACGTCTATATAGAAATAACCTCTAGGGTGTAATTAATAGAGACTGTACGTAGTGTTATTTGACACTTTCATATGTTAAATATCTTTTTTAGTTAATAAGGTTAGTTTTAAATTACTTATTAGTATTAAGGCTAGATCGTAAAATTGAATTGTCTTTGTGCAGAAACAATTTATAAAATAAAACTTATATGTATAAATATTTTGACCAATTGACCAATACGTCGAGACAGAATACGAAATTCCACCCGTATCACCTCGACGTCCGCCGTTCCACAACTGAGCGTTTTTCAAGGCAGTTTTTGCCGCGCACCACGACTATGTGGAACCAGCGGCCCACTGAAGTATTTCCGAACCAATTCGACTTAGGGTCCTTCAAGAAAAGAGCGTACCAATTCTTAAAAGGCCGGCAACGCACTCGCGAGCCCTCTGGCACTGAGAGTGTCCATGGGCGGCGGTATCACTTAACATCAGGTGAGCCTCCTACCCGTTTGCCCCCCGTTCTATAAAAAAAAAAAGGAAGCAAAATCTTGCTCATCAATATCTTCTATCTACAATATTTCTTTGAATTCAAAAACCCATTCAACTCAAGAGACTTTTCTAATTAGATATTCAGTATTTTTATTATTTCGGTTAAGATTTGATTCTCGGACAAAAACGTATAAAAACGCAATAATGAGCTGCAATCGGCAGTTGAAAGCAGGTGCACTTTAAATAGAATTCCGAATGGAAAATATGAAATATGAAAATTATTTTTCAAATTCAATATGTTTCTAAATGATACTTACTTGCTTTTTTTAATACATTAAACTGTCGACGAAAACAATACGTTAACGATTAATTGCTACAACATGACATCATCTCAAATAAAATTATAGCGCAGTTCTAGAAAAATTGCCCCTCCTTGTTCCTGCCTACCAGACTCGTAATCGTGCTTTGTTTCATGTTCCTCACATCAACACTAACTACGCAAAAACGTTTTGTATCCCGCAGCCCGGACATACAACGACCAATATTTAAGCTATTGCGGAATATGGTTAAAAGGAGTACTAAGAATATACATAGCGCAAAATCACCTGCATCATGAGCATACCCCACATACACACCTTCACGTACTTACCCTCACTTTTACACGCAACACAGCCGAATTAGGTATCACTCAGTTAAATGTATTGAATAATTTTTATTGTTTTGTAACAGGGAAAATTTAAATGTAAATTTTTTAACCTTTTTGTAGGTAAATATTATGTATTCTATCTCACTGTATATTTTAAGTGTTATTGTTTGTTTGTTATTTTTGTTCACGAATTAAATAAATAAAGAAATGCTTTATGGCAAATAAAAATGTTGATGAACAATGTTTCTATCGTCGTGAACACTATAGTCTAGTGCCAAGAATGGAGAAGAGGGCTCTCCCTCTTACGTTATTATTTTTAATCTCAAAATTAATGGGTTTAATCATTTTTGACTTTTCTTGATTGGGACTAAACATACCTTGTAATATAGAAGCCTTATAAATGTATGAGGAAAATCATTTAAAATGAATATAGTCTGGCTTTTATGTCATAAAATGTGAGCTTAAGTGCACATGGCAATTCTCATTCCATTTATAGATGGAATGAGAATTGCCATGATATTGATGATATTGATTTTGAATATTCTAACTAAAGAGGAAGTTTTTGTTCAAAATGTGTACAGCATATAAAAACAATAGTAGTAGTATAAATATTATTCAAGACCAATACTTGTTCTTAATATTAAAAAACTGATTTTTTTGTACACGACATTAATGACTTGAAGATATTCAAACATTAGTTAATGTTTTAATTGGAAAACGAGGGAGAAAAAGCAGAGCGAACATTCTGCTGGTATTTTTATCACCCAATGAGGCATTTGAATACACAGATCTTTAAATTATTAATAGATTTTACGGGGAGCATTCTGTGCCTCGTGGGGTTTCGGGTTTAAGCGAATTTCGTTACTTTATACCAGAAAAAATTCAGCTTTAGAGTGCTTAGTTCGGGATGGTTTTGGGTTGTCATTTCTGTGTCTTTGGATCCTTCCCTTTATATATCAATGAGAAATTAATTGTACTAATTGTTAACACTTTACAATCACACCTTCAGTGGCAGTTTATATACTTTGTGACTGTTGATCTGACGCTAATTACGATCCCTATTAGACTGAGTACTACAAGTCTTATATAAATTAATATAATTAAAATTTAAAAGCTTGAAAACGATATAGCAAAACCACACATTTTGATGTTGCAGGTAGGTCATACCGCACGCTCGTTTAAAATGTGTATTACGTTTTCCCATTTTAACATGGTGAGTTTTCCCGTGATAGTAGTGTAATTACCAGGAAAACTTGTTCACATTTCTAAGAAGCAATTTTACTAAACAATTTCCTGTTTATTGTACTCGGAGGAACTATTTTAATATTTATAGGCGAAAATAACCTCACATATAAAAGTAAAGGAAATTAAGGATATTTTTGTCTTTGTTACGTTGAAATTCCATCAGCGTCACTTTGATGGCTGGACGTCTTCCACGGTCCGAATGACAAGACACTTTCTTTTGCGAATTAGTGAACTGTGGAAGACCCACTTCCCTGAGAGATACGACGTTCAATTGTTTAAAGAAAGAGTATCCTCTCTCTAAAGGAAACGCTCCACACTGCTCTCAAATTACAATAACTAATATGTTTATAAAACGGAACGAAAACATATACCGCATCTACTTTCATCTGACTTGGAGAACACATCGTTACCATAGTAAAACTATCTTTAGATCAAGTATAACACCTAGGTTCTCAATTTTACATTTTTACGTTACTAAATAATAGAAACAATATTATAATTCATTAAACCGCATACTATTTATAGAATAAATAATGATGAAGTAATAAAAGGTTCTTATATAATATTCCGTTGTGCCTGTGTTATTTGGTGGTGGATAGCGAAGAAAAATTCTCAGAGATAAAGCCAGTTGGAGGAGGCCTATACTCTATACGAGAGATATGCAGATGTGGTTAGTAATGATTAAAAATGCATTATACCTATTTACAAGAGTGACAAAGTAGACCACCGCCAGGGAAAAGAAAGCTCTTGCACGGTGGGCTGGCGAGCTTAAAAAAGTTGGTGGGGAGGATTGTGAGAAAAATGCTCAAGATAGAGAGAGATGGAGCCAGTTGGAGGAGGACTATACTCTTTACGAAGAGCTTAAAAAAATTCTGTATAAAATTTTAAGTGTGTGTATCTTAAAGCCTTGTATACAAAAAAATATAAACGATTTTAAAACAAATGGTGACTTTCACCAGTATAATACGCAAAATAAAACTAATTTGAGGGTACGACCAAGCAGGTTCCAAAAGATAAACCACTCCTTATAAGGAAATTGTATTCGTTTTTACAACATTTCAAATTTCAAAGCCTTATAAAAAGCTTTATTGATTAAACGTAAATTAATCAATAAAGCTTTTTATAAATTTGTTGAATACTTAAATGATCCTAATCCTTGGGATTGATTTGCTCCAGTTCAAACAATTTTTATGACAATACTTGGCGATTAATAAGAGTGGCGGAAAGTTTCTTGCCAGTTCTTCTTATCCGCTCTACGCCCTTGACTTGCGAACTGGTAGTAAATGTAAATTTACAATTAATTTAACTTCTTTTTGACGATTCATAAGTGTACTTGTTTATCTAAATGGATAAAGATATTTTGAGTTTGAGTTTGTAAAGATGGATGAATGTTTCAAGGAATAAATGAGGCTTAATTGTTATTATTATTATACATATATATATACAAGGAATCATTAATTAGTTTTAGATAAAATATATAATTACGTAAATAAAAATAATATCTAGTTACACCGCTACAAAAAATTACAAACAACTTTTTAATAGTTCAAGAGTACACTACTCAAAAATGTATCCAGTAAAACAATTTACTATGAGCGTCGAACCGCAAAATGGTGAACTAAAATTTTACGGAAAAAATAAAGTTTTACGGCCACTCTCCGTGAGGGCTGTGTGCGTTTTATTTTCATTTTCGCGGTGAAATTTGTTTTATGTAAGAACTGGATATGTATGAAGGACGTAATGAATTTTATACAGGTTATTTACGGATATTGAGCAGTGTTGGGGCTAGTAGTTTCAGCGTGTTACTCTTATCCCTGAGATCGTAGGTTCTATCCCCGGTTGTGCACCAACTTTCTGTCTTTGTATGCCTTAACACTACGGTGAAAAAACATCGTGAGGTTGATCACCTATTAAAAATTATCAAGGAACAGAGACATAAATCTGACCTAAAAGGTTGTAGCGTAGGTATTTACGGATGTCGAGGACAAGTACGTAGTTAATATACGTTTTAATATCATTATTTATTAATTTCTATATAGCCAACATGCCTATGATTAAACGAAAACTAAAATAGTCAAATTTGTACGAAAAATCTTTCGCCGAAATTTAGTACAGTGTCCAAATCATATTAAAGCTACAGGATAGCCATTGCATTGTAGAAAACATCTTTGCATAAACGATTTGCTTTATAAAGGTTAGCTGTTGTAAAAAATCGTGTACTAAAAACCAGTGGCCTCCCAACCTTCGGTCTTACCCTTAGTTGGTCGATCTTCACGATGTTTTCCTTCACCGTAGGAGCAAGTGTTTAGTGGAGCATAAAGAAAGATCCATTGTTACACAGCCGTGATTCGAACGCATGAACCTTGATGTTGAGAGTCATGCTAGCCACAAGGCCAAATACTGTTCTAATAATTACAGTTAAAACGTTTTACAGACTTAAGAAATATGACAAAGAAAATGTATTTTTTTTACAAAAAAAAGAAAATACACACTACTTTATTACGAACTTTAGTAGTTTTAGTCTGATAAAAAGGGGTTTATTTATAATTTCTTACCAGAATACAAAGGCTGGTGCTTCTGTAGTTTGTACGACGGAGCATTGAAGCCTTAAAGTTGAACCAGGCTTGAGGTACTTATCCGTTGGCCCAGATATTTGAGCGCGAGCCTCTGAAAAGTATAAATTTGTTAATATTTGGAGAAATTTATTGATTTCAGTTTGGTAAGTAGATATTTATGAATTACAAATAATACTCCAAATGATTCCTGATAGTTAATAAATAAAATTGATCTATTTAATGGAAGATACTGTGAAAATATTTAACAGTTAACTGAATACGTTAGTAGATAAAAGATTTGAATGATTCTCAATGTTACGTAATTATTTAATAAACCTATTGTTTATAAGTAAAAGGTTCATGTATATATGTCACCGGAATATAACAAAATCCGCGAGTTTATAAATTTTCTAGGAAAAAATATGGGCGTAAAATAATACAATTTATCTGTCGTTAAGAATCCTACGAAAGTTTTTAAATTTTCTAGGAAATTGACTGCGGATTTTGTTATATTCGGTGACATATACATATTTATTTAATATTATTCTCTACCAAAACAGCTTAACTCTAATTCCATAGAAAAAGACCAAAATAAACCTTCCCATGAAATCCTTCCCTTCCCAAATAATAGACAGTGACACTCTTATGAATTCAGTCGGTGTTAAACTGAATAAGTCAAAGTCAGTCTTTACCGCAACATTATTAAGTGTGCTCAATGCATGCAATTTCTATGTCGAATGTCTGAGCAAGTTACCCGGCGGCATAGCCTGGTTAGTGTGGTTATTGCAGCCCCAATATCTATAACACATCTGCGTATATATATTCTAAAGATTAACTATGACGAACACTTGATACACAAAAATTGATGCATAGTTAATTTCAAAGAAATTCATGGAAGTTATATCACCATCAATACATGACACATGGTAAGCCGACCCGAAACCTTTTTTGCGAGATACAATCGAATTGAGTCGTCGGTAACTGAAGGCTATTTTCAACTTTGACATGTCCTTCGAATATGAACGCTGTACACCTATCTCAATTTCTGGTTGCAATCAATCGTTTTTTCTTTTAATTGCAATTGGATTCTTATGCCTATAACGGCTTTTTACTTTCATGATTATTTATTATGTTAATTCTACTATATTTCTGAATGCTTGCAACTAAGTGGTAATTAATTAATAAATAAGTGTTTAAAACCTGTGGTGTATGATCTTGACTTGATACCCTCAAGAAAAAGGTAATGCCTTTTATATTCTCCTATTAGTTAGTAAGTTAGTTAATTTAATTCCTGTGTATTCATTGACTACTTTTGTATTATTAGTAGCCTTCATAAGTTGAATGTTATTGGAATAAGTTTAATAAACCAACTACGGTAGAAGTATTAAGTTATTACATTATTCACATTAACTTGTTTTGGTACAATAACAAGATTATTTTCTAAGTAACCACACTCTATTTTATTACTATGGGTATTCCAACTTTGCAGGCATCAATAATCTATAAATCAGTTAATCATTTATTAGCAAAGAAAAAGGTTAATTTAGATCGATTATTCATAAAATCCGCACAATCAGCCATATTCAAATAGGTATGCAAATCATATTTATTTTCATAAAGTTGAGTTATATTTATAATTGTTATCAAAGTTAATTTGAATGTATTTTTTTAAATTATTAAATACGTCGTATAGTACCAACCTTGACCTCTTAACTGCTCTTTGATAATAAACCATCTCTCAAGTTTCTTTGACAAGTGGATAATAGCAAGGCCCAACACCAAAGCCGCGTAAAGAACCCTTATAAAATAAAAAATTCAAACCCAAAGCGGAACGACTTAACCCGAAAATAATTAAAAGCCGTGTGAATATAAATTAAACCATTGCTTTTATGTTTTTTGGAGCAAATATTTTTCTAAATTACCGGTCCAATTTCAAAGGTCTCAAGACCTTTGTGTCATTTTTAGTTTATGTTAATGAATATTTAAGTGTTAGAATTGTTTTAGTATGAGAGTAATTATAGTTCCGTAAACCCTTTTTTGATTAAAATTGTTTAGAAAAATAATTGGAATTGTTAGCAAAATAGGTTACAAAAGAAAATACAACAATCTTTGAAGTCGGAAATTATGTCGAATGTATGTTTTTGAAATGATATCTTAATACTTACACGTCATATATTTTTATATATATTAAATAAACCTCCGTTACTTTTTAATTATTAATTAACTTGGCAGGCATCCCATTTGTCTCTCCATTCAGAAGAAGCCGTTTCGGCCAAAACTCACCGATATCCAGATTGAGCATTCTGATAAATGAGCTAGGTCTGGATATTCATAGTTGCTCCCCTCAAACTTTGAAATCGATTTTCCTTTAGTGTTTATAATTTTTTTTTATCTTTGTGTATATTATGTTTATCTATAAGTGCTTGTCACATATAGAATTGTAATTTATTTTTCTTGTATCAATATATCAGTGTGCCGAGCGTTGGCAAGCTTTTATTAGACTATTAATTATAATTCACATTTACAGATTTAGACTTTTTAAATTAATTAATCAACACATAATACTTCAAACATAAACTTGAAAAGTTCTGATGTCACTCATACATATTAAATACTGCCTTATGTTGGAGCGCATACAGAATAAATTTACACGATTCCTTTATTACTGATTGTATGGCTTCAATCCCTACTATACTTCAATTTACCTAACATTATTTGTCTTAGGGATGGTGGGGTAAAAGCGTACGATGTCGATCTGAACCACCGCCGCTATTCTCGAAATGAAACTCAGAGTGGAGTTATAATTGTTACCGTTTATTGGTCGAACGTTAGTGATGGTGACACAAAATAATACAGCGAAGCGAGCTTATAACTAACGTCCGTCCGGCACGGCTGCGTAAATCTATCTGGTCGTTATACAAATAATAGCTTAAAACTAAACCTAAAACTACCACGCTGGTCAAAGGGACCGACCGGCCCTTCCGATACCTGCGTCCCGCCGACCGTTTCCTAGAAGAACATCTGGCTGGCAGCTTCGTTCGTCGGCTTTCTAAACTGTATTGTTCGTTGTCCGTAACAGTCTCCCCTCAGCGAAACCTTCCTATGACGTGAAGCTTTCCGTAGGTAGGACAACGAAAATTCATCTGCTAATGCTTGCGCCGTCTTCCACGTTCTTTTGGTAACGTGCTTCAACGCAACTATCTCAATATTATCTACATCTCTAGTACTTAGGCACGTAAAAATCGCGCCCCATGGCTTTTCATTACGGCCTCCTTTTCTAAGCGTATGACACCAATCCAATAGAATGGGATTCCTTGTCACCTCTGTTATCGGTATTTTTAATCGCACACGTACACGCAGTAACCGATCGCTTACGCTTAATCGGCCACTATGATCTTTAAGCTTACGTATAAATAGTTGTACGTAAGCTGTGGCTCTAATCAGCCGTTCATACTGCGAGAATTTTTCTATATCTGTATCGTTTCTGTTGGCTCTCCTTACGACTACGGTCAAAGTCAGCGCTTGTGGCTCGAAGCTTGCTATTGGCCATGTTTCTTCAGGGCCGTAAAGGAACGCTGGGCCTACGAATGGTGGATGCCTCGCTTTGTCATTTCTGATCCACTGCAATACCGTCGTTGAGTCCATCCATAGCACGATCTTGATTGGTTCAATTCTGTGACCTTCTCTAATAGCCACAGCTAATCTCGCTCCGATAAGGGCTGCCTGTAGCTCTTGCCGCTGTTTACTCTGTGACTTAATAGATGCCACCCGTGCTTTTGCTGTGATGAACCTGTCGTCAATTACATCGGTTCTAATTCGCCAATGTGCCACACTCGCATGTGCTTGTTCAGATGCGTCACAGAACACATGCAATTGTATCTCTCCTCCCCTCGTGTAAATATGCCATCTAGGTACCACTAAAGACAGTGTTTGTACATTTTCTAACTGAGACACCGACTTTTTAAACTCATACGACTGATCCATTTTCCGTTCAATGCTTTTAAGCCGATTAAATGCCATATTATAGCTTTCTGGGAATTTCGTGTTATCAGTCTTCCACGGCAACCCCAGGTAGTAACGCCTTTCCCGTTTCTCTATTGTTGTATTGAACAATTGAACTGCACGTGCGTCGGCACTTGTTAACCTTTTTTTATTATTTATACCCAAAGCATCTATTGCAAAATTTTGTTTTAATATCGCCTCTAGACGCTCATCTATTGTTTCTTTGTAAACGTGGCTTTCTGCCGCCTTTTTTATACAGTGCAAAACACGTTCGTTGTCTTCCATTAAACTTCGTATAGGTGCTGTACCATGTAAAATCCAGCCTAATCGGGTTAAAGATGCAGTCGGTTCATTTTTCTTCCCACTGTATATTTTTATTACAAACTGGTCAAATTTAACCGCTGTATATCCCGGTCTGGGTAATCGCTTAATTTCATCTAGCGCTTTATCAATTATAATCTCCGGTCGCCCATAGCACTGATCTAGTGCGTTCATAATAAGCTCGGGATCGCAAGCAGTACTCAATAATACGGCGACTGTTTCTTTAGCGGCTCCCGTAAGACATGTACGTAATCTTGCCATGTTTTCCGCTTTAGAGTATTTGTAGAGCTTCGTGGAGTCTTCATAAGCAACTTTAAAGTAAAGCCAGTCGCAGACATTCCCGTTAAACTGCGGCAGATCTTGAGCATGTCGTACAGGGGGTCTGTTTGTAGCTATTTTTTCAAAGGCTCCGATGAGCCGTTCCATCCCTTGATCATGGGATCGCGTTTTCGGCACGGAGGCCTCTTCGATAGGTGATATGGGCCGTTCTTTTTCCCAAGACACATTGTGTTTGAATGGCTCCACGCGTTCTGGGAGCGCTGTGTCTTCTTCCCTATCACCTTGAGATAGATTATTAACGCCGCTATGACTTCTTAGCCATCTATCTACCATAGCAGCGGAGTTGTTTCCGTTCCGCTGTTCTGGCATGCATTCGACGATACTCTCTTCGTCGTCTGCTCTGGGTAAGTCAACAGCGATTCGCTTCTTTAACAATTTCATTTCAAGCTCCATCTCTTGTTCCATCTCCTGCTTCTTTAATTCGAACTTTTTTCTTAAATGTTCTTTTTCTAATGCGACCAAGCGTTTTTTGGACTTCGTATTCAGCTTGCCTTACACGGGATGCTTTCGACCTCATTGTATTTCTTGAGGTCTGTGATGCTGAACCCACAGGTAACAACGTTGAATCAACGGCTTCATTCCTCCGTATTGATTCAACTGACTCCCTGTCGTGTGTAATATCGGCTAGTCCACGTTCTAGGACTTTCGATGGTGATTCTAACGGCACGTTTTCTGTCCGTACATCTTCATCGATTTCTTCTGCCCTCTTAGCTTGTCGGCTTCTTGTGTTCATTTTGAAGTCGATTGTATTCTTCGCTTCGATGAACTGGTGGACAATGCTTTCCGTCGGCGACCCACAGCAGCAATACGTCGATGCGGCGAGTCACTTTGTACAGGCGATGAAGTCAACCCTCTGCACGTACTCCTGGGATCGCAGGTAGTACTGCCGATGAAAATCTTCCTGGGATCGCAGGTAAAATCTTCCTTCTTCTCGGCGTCGATGCGTAGAGTATTATTCTTCTGGTTATCCGGCTTCTCGAAGGACCAAACTATAAGCGTACGATGTCGATCTGAACCACCGCCGCTATTCTCGAAATGAAACTCGGAGTGGAGTTATAATTGTTACCGTTTATTGGTCGAACGTTAGTGATGGTGACACAAAATAATACAGCGAAGCGAGCTTATAACTAACGTCCGTCCGGCACGGCTGCGTAAATCTATCTGGTCGTTATACAAATAATAGCTTAAAACTAAACCTAAAACTACCACGCTGGTCAAAGGGACCGACCGGCCCTTCCGATACCTGCGTCCCGCCGACCGTTTCCTAGAAGAACATCTGGCTGGCAGCTTCGTTCGTCGGCTTTCTAAACTGTATTGTTCGTTGTCCGTAACAGTGGGGTAAAAAAATTGGAAACAAGACGACATTTAAAGCTGGCCTACTATATACTGAAAGTCTTGTGGTGGTGTTGAGCAACTCTAGTGTTCTCCAAGAACTCGGTTTTTTTGTACCTAGGGGATTTGTGCGACGGTGAAGCCAAGGTTGTTTGCGATACCAAGGGCCAGATCAGTCCGTAGCACAGATCCGCGTTAACAGATACGTTAGTGAATGCTGTCTTTGACAGTATCGACATATTTTTATGTTCGCAGAGTGAGTTCACAGTAGTGATATTGTGTATCCTATGCACATTATCGTATTGGTTTAGTACTGTAATGTTTAGGTGTGCCATCTAGTTAAAGAGTGTGTAGGAAATTGAACATAATCAGCTAATATTTTATTGCGGGCGGGAAGAACGACCGGCGCTAACAATTGTACGGTACACACTGTCGCTATAGAAAGTGTGTGGTATGTATAAACCCCTTTTTTTTTTTTTTTTTTTGATATCCGAGGTGGAAATGCATTTGCGCATCCCCTGAACAGGGGTATGTGGGACTCGACCCACGCCAAAATCTCTGCTATTCAGAGACTGGGTGAGCAATACCCACTAAAACCACCTCGAGTAGTTCCGACAAAGCCGCGTTACAGAGGATGTATAAACCCCTACTATATGTGTTGTTAATTAATAAATGTTTTAGAACTAGTAGCTCAGTAAACTAACCTACTACATCCAAGTGTAGAAATATGCTGGTGGGCGGATGCGAAGACACCTGACACTCGTAGATACCTGCATCACGACTCTGCACGAACCGAACCTTAAGTGTCCAATCCTGAAAACATAATATTATTGAATCCTTTGTTCATCTTTGTCTACAGATTTATTTTATTTTACATTATTTTTTTATTATACTCCGATTATTAATTCCGTAGAATTCAGACAGCTATCATTTTTTGACATGTCAGAGATGGCAAACCTTTTTGGCCGGGCACATTTCTCAATTTCAATAGGAGTCTGAACATTTGAGTCTATACATACATTTTATTTGTTAGTGAATGTATCCTTTTTATTAAGTGCGTTCATTTTCATCACAAACAGTAAAAAACGCACAAGTTAAGATAACATTTTATTTTTTTAAAAAGGTTACTAAACCTGGAATTAGTAGGTAGTGATGCCAGCAGCAAGAATAAAATAAAGTAATTTAAGTTAATTTGATATATTGTTCGTGATATTGAAATATTTGTTATTTTTGTATTCGGTCAATTGAGTAAGTAAATATTTAGATTTACCTTTTTGTAGGTAAAACATAAAAATACGTAGCATATTATTTCCCTCAAATGGGACAAATTTGTCCCTTTTTCGGTGAAGAACGGAATGAAAAATCGGAGTATAGGTGTATCTGAAAGATCGCTTATTCGCCATAAGCCGCTCTTGCCCTTACCATACAAGTTTTAATAAATGCAATATATAAATAAATCTACTACGGATAGGATTATGCAATATATTTGTAAGTAATTATTTACTTTAAGCAAAATAAAAATCTTTCTTTTATAAGGTTTTTAAAACAAAAGTTGTAAGTAAACCTCTGAATGTTGTAAATGTATTGCTTGAAATCGTTGATCAGAACTGTATGTGGTCAGACCAACTGTCAGCAAGTGGTAGTCTTTTCTCCGTATCCATGACACCTGGAACAAGAAAAATATAGTTTTATTACGAATAATAGAAACATCAGTTTTCCTGTTTTATATCAGTATAAAAATAAAGTTTTTATCAATGCATAATAAGTTTATTTATTATAAACATACAGTTATTTATGTGGAATGACAAGTTAACAACGAACAGTATAGGTTAAGAATACTTTACAAAATTATCGTTGTATATTGTAATAAGAGAGCATTGTTAGGCTAGTGGCTTCAGAATCCCCGGCTGTGCACCAATGGACATTAGGACATGGATCTTTCAATGCGCATTTAACATTCTCTCAAACGGTAAAGAAAAAAATCGTGAGAAAACTGGCTTGCCTCAGACCCAAAAAGTCGACGGCGTGTATCAGGCACATGAATAGAATAGAATAGAAATATGTTTATTTCCCTAGTTCTTATGTTGCATTATGTCCACAGGTCGATGGTGTATTCGGCCTGTGGGTGTGTCAGCTACTTACAGACTACATATGTTTGTCTCAGAGAGATCTATATAAGTGTCGTGCAGTGTGTGCTGTGAGCTTGTTAAATTGTACAGAATAAATTTATAATGTTGTTATATATTGTCTTATCCTACTTACAGCTAATTATAATCTATGGGGACGCGGAGCGATCGTTGCCAGGCACATGAGGCTGACCACATACTTGCCTATATTGACAAATGATCATGAAACACATACAGAAATCTGAGGCCCTAAAAAGGTTATAGCACCACTGATTTATTTATTTTAATTTTATATTTTAATAAACTTTGTTTAATTAGGAAACATGAATTTTGACAAACGATTCATAATTCATGTTATTTGAATCTTACCCTGGGTGTCAAGATATACTAACAATATATAACATCGGGCATTGAACTTATCCATCTTACATTATCTAACAAGCACAAGGGAAGCCGTTGGTTAATACTAGTGTTATATCAGCTAAATCTCAGTTAACTCCGAGACATTTACGGTTCTATAAACAAGGATGTAACATATCCTGCACATATTTCTTGATAAACACAACAGTGTACTGCTCTTAGCTGAATTTAAGACAAATTGTGGCGAAGAGCTATAATGTTAATCTACGTTATGTTATTTGTGTGTGCACTATGTGTGTCACGAGTCTAAGCAAAATACATCATCATCATCGGCATCTTTATTGGGTCCTTTTCTGGACGTAGGCCTTCTACATTTTCCTCCAAAGCTTCTTGACGATTTCGTCTCACCTAGGCGGTGGGCGGCCGCACCGTCTTTTGTTCTGTGTCCATTGTGTCCAACGGTAGTTGTTGTCTGGTTCATTCGATGTTTGTCATAGCTTTAGTCTTGGAAGAGTTCATCTTTAGGCCAACATTCGCTGACTTAGGCTTAGGATACGGCTCATGGGAGCCATATCTTCAGGGTAATCAGCAAATGTCAGTTAAGTAAGTGTAAAGATCAATTCACCTTTGCTTATTATATAAAACACTCAACTCAACACTCTTAAAGTATAAGTTCTGAGAAAATCTTACTATTAATATAATAAAAACTTACTTTCCTTACTAAACAAAGAAATAAAACTTATTTTTAAATAAAATAAATAAATGAATAATAATGGTTCCAGTAATACCATGTTTAATCTTCCATAACTATTTGACTATGCAGTGAATTTTGCAAGAGCAAAATTTACACCTGTAAAATGTACATCGCATTATAATTTTCATTCCACTGAAATAAAGAAATATGGTATGAAAAATATATTTTATTTAAACTGACGGGGATATTTAACAGGTGACATAAAAAGGCACTGAACTGTAATGTATTCGCATCACGGTACTTTTGTTAGGACACGTTGGGGCATCTATAAAAACTAGATATGGTTGAACAAAAATGGTATGTTAAATTTTGCACTCTATACAAAGATAGCCCGAGGCAAAAACACATTTGCCAATGAATGCGCTTAGGAAATGTTTTTAGTATTTAGACTGACTATCGTTTTTTATATTAAATAATACCTGCCCATATCTTCGTCGATTTTGTGATCAACTTGCTCAACTAGTATTGTTATGTTTCATTCAATTTACATTACAATTAGTTTATATATAAATATAAATATGATCGAATTTACAATTTAATTAATGTTATTGCCGAGTAGAGTTGGCATTTAAAAATGTGAAAGCTAGAACGCGTTCAAAAGCGACTACTCAATGTATTGTGTACAAACGCCAATCGAAGTCATCATTTATTACAGATAATTATTATATTATTTTTGTAAAGTTCAATAATTATTTTTAAATTAGATTTCTGACAAGCAATTAAAAAAAACTTAAGGAATTAACTTGATGTGTATTTATATTTTTTTTCTATATCCTAGATTCCATTTCTTTCAATTTATTTATATTATAGTATCAATAATAATAATGTTTGTACAATTACACAGTCAATAATTGCCCGCTCTACGAGAGCTCACCCGTTCTTTTAGAATCAAGTTAACATCTTTTCTGTTGACGTCCATAAGTGTACTTGGTTACCTATATGAATAAAGTTATTTTGAGGATAATAGCGGATTTTTTTTATTTCAATGCGGTGTTATATTTTGTTAAGTTATTGTATTACTCGTAGTTTTTTTTGAATATGTATTGAAATAGTTTAGTTGTTATTGTTTACATAAACTTTTTCTTCATATTCCATATTTTAAATTATTTGAACACCTAAACACAACAATCTGTCAGGTTCTTCTTCTGGTGACTCTCCATTACTGGAGGTTGGCCCTCAGTCATGTGTGCGTGTCTTGTCCTGTGCCAGATGCAGGAACTCTTCCGCAGTCCCAATACTCGTTCTTTTCCTAACATTTTTTACCACTTACACACCGTTTTTACTTATTATAATTAATTGAAGGGGGAAACGACCGCTAGGTCGTGGCGCAACACGTGGCCCAGGTACGCAACTTTCCATTGTTTAATTTTAAACAAATCCAATCATGTATTATTATTTTTTTATTCCTTACAATATTTAAATTGAAATCCAAGAGTTTAATTACGCTTTTATAAAAACGGCGGTCGTGTCATGCTAATTAGCAAAATGAGGGTAATTTGAAATTAAGGCCTTTTGTAAATGTTCGGGACGTGTTTTGGTTATTGTTACAAATTATTTAGACTCACTCAGGGAATTTCGATATAACCTAGAGGAAGATTAGATTGGAGTAAAATCAAAGGAAACTTTTTTATAGATATGAAATCCCAATGATATTAAAAAAATTTTTTTTATGTTACAGGAGGCAAACGGGCAGGAGGCTCACCTGATGTTAAGTGATACCACCGCCCATGGACACTCGCACTGCCAGAGGGCTTGTAAGCGCGCTGCCGCTCTTTTTAGAGTTGGTACGCAGTTTTCTTGAGGTATCCATATATTTTCTAGGTAAAATAATAGCATGGGTCAAATTGCCCTATTTGTGACAGTGACTCGGAGGGGTTTAGTGGGTTGAGCAACTTTAGCGAGTCCCACACTCTGTGCTGAATTGAACACGGTATACCTAAGTGGGAATGCATGTAAAATTTTATCTATCAGATTTTTGGGTTTTGGAGAACAATGTTAGAGTGGGTGTGTGTTGGATTAAGACATATAGAGGTCTAGTTCGCGTCTAGACTTAGGTTCAGAAACGAGGTGGTAGTTCACGAATTTATATAACTTTTCTTATATCCATTTTTTTATTCAACCGGGCAAAAGGCTCATATGATGTTAACTGATAACCGCCCATGGGCAGTCAACACCAGAGGGCTCGCATGTGCGTTGCTTATATTTTATTATTATTATTATCAGTGGCGCTACAACCTTCAAGGCCTGCGCCTTAGATTTCTGAATCTGATCATTTTGCAATCCAATAGACAAGCAGGTGATCAGCCTCCTGTACCTGCCACACGCCGTCTTTTTGGGTCTAAGACATGTCGGTTTCCTCACGATGCAAAATATTTCACTTGGCACCGTTAGAACAAATGTCCATAAATGCACAGCCGGATCGACCTTCGATCAGGGTGCCCTTCTGGTGCTTTTAAGCCGACAGGGCCACCCATTGCACTCATATGAATAAATATGTGTGTAAAACACTGTAATACATCTATCTCGCTTGTTTTGTTCAAAGTATATAAATTGCGCACATAGAAGAAGAGTATATTGATGTACAGCTCAGGTCATTTCACAAACACTGCTCAAATATATAACTGATTACAAATCCTTCCGATACTTGCATGTTAATAAACTTATTATAAATTAAAATTTGTTCTTCAGACAAGAAATGCATTATGTATGTATGCAGATAAGGATAGGGCGGGGTGAGTTATATAGTTTAGATAAGTTTCAAAACTGTTTTTTGCTTGCATTTGAAACAAACCAAACCCCATAACTTTTGCAAAAATATTGAACCCCCCCCCCCGGGGGGGGGGGGGGGCCCCCCTTTTTTTTTTTGTTTTTTTTTTTTTTTTTTTTTTTTTTTTTTTTTTTTTTTTTTTTTTTTTTTTTTTTTTTTTTTTTTTTTTTTGGGGGGGGGGGGGGGGGGGGGGGGGGGGGGGGGGGGGGGGGGGGGGGGGGGGTTTTTTTTTTTTTTTTTTTTGTTTTTTTTTTTTTTTTTTGGTTTGGTTATGTAATTATACGTTTACAGAAATTTAATAACTGATTAATTCACGACTGATAAAAGTATAGGACAGTGAAAGACAATTTAAACCTTTATTCAAATAGACTTTTTCTAAATGACTTAAGTAACAGTTGACTCTGAGTTGTAAGTTGGTTTTTGAGAAAAATCTATTTTTTTATATCTGGTTACTTATATTTTTATCACAATTCCTTATGTTTAATTTCAATTTCAAAGAACCTTATTATCGTTTATTGATTGTAAAACTTGTGGAGTGTCTCTATACTTTAATTTGTTTTAGCTAATTGGTAGCTTACGAGAAATTACTAACATTACAAGAAACTCCTAAAATATACAACTAAACGATTATTCCGTAGTCATAACAGTAGAATAACGCA